CCGAGGGGACTGGCCCAGCTCCTGCCAGGCAGGAAGGACAGACATGGAAGCTAACGCTGCGCTTCACCCCCCGCGAGGCCCACTACCCACCTGCATGACCCTGAGCGTCTGCAGAGCCAGCTGCTGCGCGCGGGGGGAGGCCCACGGCAGCACTGCAACAAGGCCTTTGTAGACTTGGTTCTGGTACTTGGGATTGCCACGGCCCAAAGAGTCCATCAGAACCTGCACATCTTCTTGAGCCTCTGCTGAATTGGAAGTGGCCAAGAACTCGGCGAGGGATCGCACCCCTGTGCAGAGAAAGGGACGCCAAGTCGTGTGTCTGGATAAGTCTGCAAGTCACCCACCTCAGCTGTCTCACTGACACCCCGAGAGAACCCAGCACCACGTTCCATTCGAAGCGCAACTCAAAGAACAGAAGCCAGGCAAAAAGTTCTTTGTCCTTGTCAGGAGCGACACCACCAACTGGAAAACCAGTCGGCAAAATTCTCAGCTGGAGTAGATGGCCAAGGCCCTGCTGCGGGCCTTTACACAAGCACAGAATCTGGCACTGGGATGCCAATAGTGCTGCTAAGGACCCCTCTGCTGATCCTGCCACATCGTCACCCTTGGGGGAAGCTGTAATGGCAGGTACCACCCCATAGCCTCCGACAACATCATCCGAACTACAGAACAACTAATGGGGTTTGGCTTCCGCTGCCCAGGAGGAAAAACAGGAAAAAAAAAGTTGTAATGCTCTTTCAAAAGATATGAGCCGCAAAACTCTCCCACCCCCAGAGGGGAAGTCTGGGAAACTTTGCAGTAGGCGAACGCTGCAGGTAAGAATGGAAACTGTCTTGTTTAACTGGAGCAGTTGCAACCAGCCGGACAGCAATATTGCATCAAAAGAAATGACTGTAAAGAAAGTGAGCTCGTTAAAAAGTGAGAGAGGGGATGAAATGCAACTGCTCAACAATAGCTGAGACTCTGAACTCCTTCCAGCCAGAGAAACGCTGCGGCGACCTGCCATCCGGCAGGTGGAGGGAAGGGAGTGGCTCAGTGTGGCAAGCAGCTCTGGGGGCCAGAGGTCAGGGAGAACATCCTCGCCTGAATTAGGAAAAAGCACGGATGGACACGCCGCCTACCGTAGCTTTCACAAATGAGCTCCTTATACTTCCTGCCAGCGTCTGCGATGAGCTGCAGCAGCTTTACAGACTCCCTTTTGTCCTCTTCTTTCAGATGGTTCAGCCTTAGTATTTCCAGGAGAATTAAGACACCTCCGATCTCCAGAAATTCAATAAGGTATCTGCGTCTGCAAGGATAGGGGGAACAAAGCCAAAAGCGTCACCTGCCTTGGAGCCCATCTTCCTCCGTCAGCACGCCGTGCTCCTGGGAGCCATCACCTCCTGCCTTGCTGCGGGTGCCCAGTGCCCGGGCAGTGAGCACAAGGAGGCTCAGCCTGGACCGCAGAGGCAGATGCCCGCCAGCAGCACGCTTTGCTGCCAGCAGGTCACCAGCTCCCATTTTACCCTGTGCTCATTTCAGGTACTGAACCACAGGCACAGAAAGCCCCATCTCTGCACTCAAGACTTTCATCACACTCCTTCCACATCGTGTCAGTGACCTGGTGGCTCTGGAGACATGCACAAGCAGTGGATTTGGTTTTGAGAGCATTTTAAATTCCTACCACAAGCCTCACTGGGCCTGCCTTGCCTGAAATGCTTACGCAGCCGTCCCAAAAGACCGCCAAGGACTTGGTATTTTCTTTATCTACTCACCCCCTCACTCTTGCGTGCCTTCCCCACGGCACCTCTCACACAGTGACATTCTATACTCACCCACTTGAAGCAGATAAGAAGATGCCAATGGACTTGAGCAGCTTGTTGAGGCATGTGCTGTACATGTAGCTGTTTGACAAGGCTAAGGAGAGATTTACAGACCATCGTGGTGTCCCCCAGACAGCCTTTGGCGATGTGGAGGTCTGAAGTGGGTACTCCCTCTGCAAGAGAGCATGGACCTTCCTCTCACAGGTGTGCAGAGGCAGCATGCTCATCCCAATGTGAGAAAAAACACTAATTCTAGGTCCCTGAGAGACAGGTTACGTGACTTTCCCTTCAGTTCCATCTTTAGATAGCCTTTTTTTTTTTAACCCTGCAGAACATGGCTGGATATGGATGTCTCCATACAGAAGCTTAAACAAATTCTCGGTAGAGAACTTTCCCTTCCCCTCCATCCCACTACCACATGCCACCTCCAGCTGTCCAAGGAAAGAGATACGTCATCCTGAGCCATGCTGTTAGGCGAGCCAGAAACAAGCTGGCTCCCTGGGAGAACTCCAGCTCCAGCTCTGGTTCTGTCTTGCCGTCATTGCTTTTAATGAAGTTGTCCAGTATGCGGCTTCGAGCAACTTTGTGGGCACTATCCCATTCTTGCAAGAAAACCATGAGCTTCCTGATGGCTTCCTGCTCTCTGACAGAAGTCATGATCTCTTCTGCCTAGAGAAAGGTGAGAAAGAAGTTAAAGAAAGGCTTTGAAGATATAAAAAGCCTGTAATAAGGAATTACCACCAGAATCACATTTAAAATCTCTGGCAAATAATATCAAAGTGCTTACTAGCCATTAATTTAATCTAATTTTCCTTAATACTCATTTCACAGATAACAAAACTGAGGCAAAAGGAGAGTTCCTGGTATGTCTGAAGCTGCACAATGAATCTGTGACAGACTTGAGATTATTCTCCAGGGCAGGTGGCTTCACCACAGGAACTCTCTTCTCTGCTCTGTTAATAAAGTAATTCTGATGTTACCCATTCCCTCAGCCTTGGTTTCTCGCTAGCCTCATGATATAGAACAGCGCATCTCATATCTGACCTGCCAGAGAATAAATAGGGTGAAATGAGAGCACAAATAAGTATGGATTTATGGGGAGTGACAGGGTCAAGGGGGCTGTAAATGCCTGTTAGCACAGCAGCGCAGCATGCCCTCACTCACGTGATGGAGCGACAGTCATTTGGACTGGGCCCACATCCACTCCAGGAAGACGTGCTTGGCCTTAGCACTGGGAGAGCGCTTTGGGACCCTTTGGCATGACAGACATTTGCTCTGTTTTTTTCTTATCTAATTTCTATGGCACATTTTTAAACAATCTAAGAAAACCTGAAATGATAGGAACCGTAGGCAAGAAGACAGAAGCTCCAGAAACATCCCTTGCCTGCACTTCCTTCCATCCCTTCACACAGGTGTTAAATAAAGCAATCCATATTTTGCCAAATTTCTTTGGCACGCTTTTGGCTTAGTATGATATCCCCTATTCCAGCTTGACAAATGTGAAGGTGCACTTAGTAGGGGGATGAAATATTAGAGGATTAAGCTCTCCCTTCATTCAGGTAGGTGAGAATTCCACGGACAAGTACGCGTTTGGCTTTAAGACACTGACCAATCTCAAGGAGCCTCGCAGTGAAACATCAGTATCTGTGTACACACACAGATGCAGAAAGAGGGACAAGGTCACAGACAGCTGCATGAACACAGGTGCGTTGTCCTCCACCAACCTGTATCAACATGCCTGAGGATAAGAAAGGAACTCACGCCTTGTCTAATACAATTCTTCCTACATAAGAAAAGCACCATTTTAGGTTTTATTTAAAGTGTGGTTTAAGAGGAAAAAAGCTAAAATGACACAAAATCTTTGGGTTTCAGAATAAGAAGTTTCTTTCAAGGTAATACAAGTTGCCAAGATTACTAATTTCCTATCTACAAAGCTCTTAAGCCTTTTCTCCTAGAATCTGGAGCAAAATTCCAAATCAGTTCCAGAATATCCCCAAGATACCTGCTTAAAAAGTAACTTTCTATTGCTATTATCTGAACCATTGTTTTCAGAAAACAATGACCAAGAGGTGAACATACACCTCAGTGCCTGAAAACAAACAAACAAAGTCTTCAAAAAGCTGGCTGAGAAACAATGTTTGAGAATTAAGATGAGATGAAATTTCATGTGGGAATTAACGGTCTGTGCTCTGTAAGGAGTCTGTGTCCTTGGCAGGGCATTTTCAGGATCTCCTTTGCGGGGAAGCAGGTTTAAAATAAATCCATTTTCCCAAAATAGTTGTGATTGAAAATGTTATTAGCCATAACAAATGTTAGTGCTGACAGGAGAATGGCCTGTTAGGGGCCTCTGGTGAAACAGTCAAGTGAAAGTCATATTTCACATTATTGCGAGCATTTTCCTGTGATTTACAGAATATTTGTGAAACATTACTTGCAAGGCATATGATTGATATTGAGAGAACAGCTAGTGTGTAGGGGGAATCTGTATTTCACAGAGACTGTTTGCATGAAATTTACAATCCCATAAAGTGCTCCTCTGTCCTCAACAGAGATCTAGTTAAAAGAACTTTACAGTCTGAAACATCCCAAAATTGATTCTAAATTAACGTTTCCATATTTATGTTTAAGATGCTGGTGGTGTAATGCTATCCTATTTTTATTATAAAGCTGCAGTAACCCCCCACTATTCAGAAATACCAGCACCAGCCTCTGGATGTAAGGATTTTGGTGATACAAAGGGCTTGCCTATGAATCAATGGCAAAAAAAAGAAGAATTTGAAACAATGATCACATGAGGCTTCTGAGGATACCATGGTATCTGTCCCTGGCTGCTATAATAATAGCATCTGCTGACACAGTAGTCTTTAAGCCGACATTGCAAAGTACCCTGAAAATGTACGAGTATTTTTATTATGACCATTTTACATATGGGAACATACAGACACAGGGAAGTTAAATGACTTGCCTGAGTCATTTGTCAGCGCTAGTATCAGCACATAACTCCTGTTTGTTGGCTTCAAACTCTGCTCTCTACAGTGCTGCACTGCCACACCAGTCCATTGGACCTAATAATCAAGACTGGGTCAGGGCAGTGCTTTTTTCCTGCCAAGAAAAACACAAGTGATTTAGGAGCTGGTTGTGGCAATTCAGCGGTTCTTTACATCCAGAGTGCTGCTAAATCATCAGATTGAGATCAAAAGGCAGACTGGTGCTGTGTCAGCCTCAGTCCAAGTGTGAGGTGCAGGGACTGATAGCCTTGGAATTACGGAAGGACAGAGTGACGGTGATTTGGTGTTACCTTTGCATCTTGCAACATCAAGGTTGTGCCCAGTCTCAAGCAAAACTTAGAGCTTCTGTTTCCCCAGCAGGTTTCACCCTCTCCTGGCATACCTCAAGTGCCCCACAACCCTCCTCACACACAATGCACCTTCCTCAGTGTACCCCAATGCCTTCTACCCAGCCCCTATCAATCCACAGTCCCACTGGCCCCTCTCTCACCTACATGTCCTTCCTCCCAGCCCCACTGTCAACCTCAGCC